AGATACCCTTATTGTTCTCATTCCTAAAATAAAAAATCCTATAACTCCTTCCAACTTTAGGCCTATAAGTTTATGTCAAACCAAATATAAACTAGTGGCTTCAATGATTGTTAATAGAATGAAGCATTTCATTGGCAATTGTATCACTGAAGAACAAGCTGCATTCCTCCATGGTAGATCGATGTCGGATCATGTCCTTCTTGCACAAGAGGTATTTCATAAGATGAAAATTTCTAAGAGGAAAAAAGGTTTTATGGCGGTTAAACTGGATATGGCACAAGCTTATGATAGCATGTGTTGGGATACTTTATTTCAAGTATTAAAGATGTTTGGCTTTCCTATGAAGTTGAATATGCTAATTATGGAATGTATTAGAAATGCTAGATTTGCTTTCATTTTGAATGGTAAGAATTCCAAATGGATTGCTGCTGAGAATGGCTTTAGGCAGGGTTGCCCTCTATCGCCATTCTTGTATGTTCTTTGTTCTCAGCTTCTTTCCTTGGCTATCGCACAAAGGGGACAAGATTTGGGAATTCAAGTTTCCTGTAGAGCAAACAATATAAGCCATTTGTTGTTTGCTGATGATGTGCTCTTATTCTCTAAAGCTACCAAGCGAATTGCTATCAATATGAGCAAAATTGTAAAGGATTTTTGCTCTTGGAATGGACTTCAAATTAGCATTCCTAAATCTCAAATTCTGTTCAGCAAAAGTATGAATAGAGTGGATAAATTTCAGATTATGAAGACTTTAAAGTTTAAAATGGTGGAGGAATTTCAATACTTGGGAATCAAACTTATGTTGAGAAGGCATTTGAAAGCTGATTTCAAATTCTTATTAGATTCGGTCTTAACTAAACTTAATTCTTGGGGTAGCAAATGCTTATCTATGGTGGGGAGAATGACTCTTGCTAAGTCATCTCTTCTTACTTTACCAAACTTTATTTCCACCCATTCTTTGGTTCCTAAGAAGATCTTGTATGAGATTGATAAATGTTGTAGGAATTTCATTTGGCATAAAAGAGATGGGAAGAAAGGAATGCATTACATTGCTTGGAAGACCTTATGCAAAACAAATGATCAAGGTGGCCTGAACTTTCACTCAGCGGTTTGTAGAGCTGGACCACTCAAAGCCAGATTGACTTGGAGACTTATTCAAAATCAGAATTCCTTACTTCATCAAATTATGGATGCTAAATATGGTGATAGTTGGTGGAAAGGCAGCTGTAATGTGGGCAAATCTATTGCTTGGAAAATCTTGAAGGAGGGAGCTGAATACTTGAAACCTCTTTTGAGGTGGAGAGTGGTCAATGGGAGAAACATAAGTGTTTTATCAGCCATTTGGTTACTGGACAGATGTCTAGATGAATGGCCTATTACAGCGGACTGTGGGAGTTTGGTTGGTATGATGCTGAATCAATTAATAACAGAGAATGGACATTGGAACAAGGATAAACTGCATAAGTTCTTTCCTAATGAGATTATCAATGTGATTTTGCAAATTCTGATTGAAACCAATGCAGTGGCAGATTATAGGGAGGAGATTAGTTTTCTTTCAGGGAAAACTATTAAAGCCCGTGCATTTGAGAACCTTAACAAATACAGTATCTGTGATGGAGATACTTGATTTCATAAAAGGCTGAAAAAGCTGAAATTAGCTGTCCGAGTTCAATTTTTTTGTGGAGATTGAGCAAGTCAGCTTTACCCACTATGGAATTTTTTAAACTAAGAAGACTCACTACTGAAGACAGGTGTGTGAGGGGATGTCCTGAAATTAAAAATATGGAACATATTACAGTTTGCTGTTTAGAGCTGCGAAAAATCCTAAAACAGATTCAAAATTGGGGAATTTATATTCCTGTTTTTAACACTTTGGAGGAGTGTTTGGTTGAGCTGATATTCATTTCTATAATTAACCCAAATTTAGCTAGAATCTATTGCAATGCAGTCTTCTATAATTGGAAAAATAGAAATGCCGTTAAACATGGGAAATCTGCTATAACTATAGCTACCATTGCAGCTGAAGTTCTATTCTCCGCTGTAAATACTGCTAATCCTATCATTCGTAACTGGGGTGCTATTCTCTCTAGGGAGTTCCAAGATATTTGGCACCCTCCACCGATTGACTGGATTATGGTTAATGTGGATGCTTCTCTTCTTACTTCTTATAGTGCTGGTACTGGAGGATGTTTTCGAGACTTCAAAGGGAGATTATTACTTGCTTTTGGTGAAAAGAGAACACATTGAGATATTAATAGCCTTGAGCTTGATAATGTTATGGCACTTAGGAAGCTTATACAACCGTGGATGCTTGAGAGTAAAGGAATCATTATTGAAGGTGATAACATAAATCTTATCAAATTCATACAACATTCATTGAACAAGGCTAAATGGAAAAATAATAATGGGATGGAGGAGGACCTTCTCTTCTTAACTGACTTCAATAAGGTAATTCTTCATCATGTGCATAGGAATTGTAATAATGTAGCCGCTCTAGAAAGATTATTTAGGTTGTCAATATAATTATATCTGCAAGATGAAGGATAATAGTTACAATTTATTTTAGCGTGCTTTATATTGATGCCTTCTGTAGCCTGTAGGTGTGGGGAAGGAATTTTTATTGGGTCTGGTGTCCTGACGTAGCTCTACGTTCGGACACCAGTGTAACAGCGCCACGTAGCGGCCCGATGACCCGACCTAAACCCGTTGTATTTTGTAGATTTTGCACGTGTTTTAACTATTTGGGATCGGCCCGATGTCGTATATATGAATTGGGCTGTCCTACAATCGTCCTCCTCCCCCCCCCCCCCCCCCCCCCCCCGTCTTGTCCATCTAGTAATTTCATCATGGATCTCCATTAAGAACTTCCTACATAGCTTCAGGTGAATGAAACAAGCACAAAAGCCACTCAAACCTAAGTGAGGTTATATGAAAACCACCAAATTTACTCCATTGTCGTCTTAATTCAAGACTACAAATGGAAAAAGGAAATTTTTTACAAAGAACTTTAACAACCAAGGAATTCCTTAAAACTTGAACATTGGCATTTACTTTCTCCATGTTAAGTTTAACCACATCCATATCCATATTATCATTAGCAAATTCCTTCAAATTTATTTTAATATGCAGATTTTTAACCGACACATTAACATTTTCAAAATAAGGAGATGAATTTTTTTTCCAATCAAATTGGAATTAAGATTTATATCAACTCCATCAACATCAAAAAATTTCTCACCATCATTCCCTTTCTCCAAACAATTATTCCCTTTCAAAGTAAAACCCAAAAAGGAAGAAGAAGATGCCTCAAAATCGTTGGATATAGGAAGAAAATCCAAAACAGCATTCAAAATAGAATCATATTTTTGAAAATCATGTTTAGAAAATAAAGATTAATGATTCAAATAGTATTTTGAAACCATTTCTTTCCCTTTCAATTCATCAGGCAATATCTTTTGATTCAAACCAGAGAAACCTTTTCTAATAATTAGAGGAGAAAACTTGAAATAAGAGTTACAAGAACTGCTGCGATTAAGAGAAAATCTACCATGTGTATCCAGCAGAGTTGGACGCACGGCAAAATTTTTGTTTGAGGTATTCCAGTCATCAGGGGATGGCCGGCGACCCTCTTCCACAATCAACAGCCACGGCTGGAGATTCAAAAATGAAGGATTTTGAAAATCTTCAAAAAAACATGGATGTTCTCTCTCATGGATGCAATTTTCTTTATTGAATACATTTTCTAGTTATAGCTTCAAGTTTAATAATGATTTTCTTGATTTAAGATAGTTTTACCCAACCCTTAAATTTACTTATTCATTTCCAATTCAGTTGTCAAAATAAGTTACTGTATAGTTTCTAAATTCAAAATAAATTCAATAGCTTAAATGATCTAGTCTAGTTAAGTGTTAGGATTTTCAAAGTAAGAATTACTATGCAATTTTCATTCAAATTATAATCTAGAGTTTTATTATCATCCTAATTTAACATATTGTTTTATTATAATTTTTATTTTGCTAAATAAGAAATTAAGTGCAAAAACTTTAGAGAATAATATGAAATAATATAAATATAAGGAAATTTAGTAAGATACAAACTAATATAAAATAAATATCGGGTACTAATAGTAATTATAAATAACAAACATAAGTAGGTTGCCTCCTATCAATGCTAAGTTTATAGTCTTCAGCCATACTTACCTAGATTTTTTTATTTAACTGGGGTACATCACTGCCACTCATCAAGTGGTTTCCACTAGATTCTTTTCCTTTATCTTTTGGGTTAATTTTAGTATTGCTAGGGAGAGACGCAACATACCTACTACTAAAAGATATTGCAAACTATACTAACTGATTTACCATGTTTTTAATTGAAGATTCTTGATTTTGCAATGGAGTACCCAATTCAATCACTACCTTTTCCAAAGGTTTTATTCTCCTACTGGCTATTTTAATTAAATCCTTGAGGGTAAGATGGTCTAGGATTCATGATAGGTTGCTAAAGCTTAATTTACTTTCTTCCTTAATTAGGTTGGTCTGAATTGCACTAATTACTTCCACAAACAATATTTGATCATCTTAAATTAAAGTGGGTCCTCCAATTTGTATTTAAGTATTAGAATAAAGATTATTTTTTATTCAAATAAAACTAACATTTTCAATCCCTAAATAACTACTATCCTTACATAATTCAAATTAGTCTCTTGCAATTATATATATTAGCAAGATCCTGAGATAACTCTAACAGCATCTATTTTTCTTAAAATAGTAGCTATCTAAGCATTAAGAATTCATAAAGCATCAAATTCATAGACTTTAGCCACTATCCTCGGATTCTCCCTACTCATAGGTTATTAGAAATTATTAGTAGTTATTACTTCAATTAATTTATAAGCATTCTTAAATAGCTTACATATTAAAGATCATCCAGTTATAGCATCTATAATTAATTTAATAGATCTTACTAATCCATTATAAAAGACTTGAATAAAAAATCAATTAGGAAAAGCATGGTGAGAGAATTTCCTAAGCATCTCCTTAAAACGCTCCCAACTTTCATAAATTAATTTTCATTCAAACTGGGCAAAATGAGTGATATCATTTCTAAGTTTAGTAGTTTTTAAAAATAGGAAATACATAGCTTGGAATATATGAGCTAACTCTTTCTAAGTGGTTATAGAACCTAGAGATAAATAACTTATCTATATTTTATCATTGCCCTTTATAGAAAATGAGGATAATCTAAGTCTAATGGCATCATCTCTGACACTATTATACTAATAAGTTGAATTTATTTCTTAAAATAAACTTGCTAAATGTAAGTTATGATCTTCAAAAAAAGTTCCCTAAACTAAATAATTTTGAAACATTTGGATACTGGCCAAATTCAATTCAAAAGTAATAACCTGAATAGGAAGTTTATTAATGCTTTGATGGATCCTTCAACTATAAGGTTAGCATACTTCTTAAGTGGTCTTGCATGAACTTGATCTTAAACTAGTTCATACGTGGTTAAAAAAAAATTTGGATTTTTAAATTTTTTTTAAATCCTTTCTTTTTTGGGTCAAATAATATGTGCTCTTAACTAGATATACCAAGCATACAATAAAGTAATTAAATATAATGTTTTGTTATGATTTTTTTTTAAAAAAAAATATTATATAGAATAAAGATACTATATATAAGTATGTTTAAATATATACTTATTTTAACGATATTATAAATTGCAATAAACACATTACTATTTTCTGTGGTTAAAAAAGAAAACTTTGCTTTGGAAAGATGTAAAGCAAATTAGAATTAATTATCTTTGGGAAAGTTGAGATTTTCTTTTGACTTTGAATTCTAAAATTGAACATACCATCAAGAATTACATACCACCTCAAGAGGTGGAAATAAGATTTCTTAATTGGATTCAGATTAAGAATTACAAATTTCATCCTAAATATTGTAGCAAAATTCATTGATAAACTACATATAACCCTACAACAACAACAACAACAACATAAGAAAAGTATTTTTTGATCTTCATCTTTAATACACTTCACTTGAACTAAATCCTTACTACTCCTATCTCTTTGTTTGGCTAACTTATACATATATCTTTCTCCTTCTTTAGTATCTAAACTACATGTAACCCTGAATGGTCAAAATGATGTTAGATCAAATATCTAGATATAATAATCTAAAAGTGTAATAATTAATTTCATATTTGAGGTCATATCAACAAAAGATATTCTCTTCTTTTTTTTATAGGAAATGCAATAATTTATATGTAGTTCATCAATGATTTCTTAATTGGATTAAGATTTAGAATTACAAATTTCATCCTGAATATTGTAATAAAATTCATTGATGAACTACATATAACCCTGAATGGTCAAAATGATGTTAGATCAAATATATTGATATGATAATCTAAATTTATAATCGTTAATTTCATATTTGAGGTCATATCAACAAAAGATGCTCTCTTCTTTTTCTATAGGAAATGCAATAATTTTGCATTAAAATGAAAAACTAATTACAAACTACTCAAAGTAAACCTAAAGATTCACATTCCTCCTTCAAAATGAACAAGAAGGAAGGAGGAATATCTTCATCATTCAGATCATTCCAAATAAAGCACTTACCCAAAACAAAATTAGAACAACAATCTGCTAATTTATTACAACATCTAGTAGATAAATTAAAAGAAATTTGATTAAAATCTTGGATGAATTCCAAATTCTCTTCAATTCTTTCTTTATTCTTCAATTTCTTCAAAGATACTTGAAGAATCTTGATGATGTTGAAATTATCTCCTTCGATAATCACACCCTGAGCTTCCAACATCCAATCCTGAATTACATTTCTTAAAGTGCAAACTACCAATAGTTCCAACTGAGCAATATCCCAATGCAAGTATTAGACACCAAAAGCAAGTAAGAACCTTCCTCTATCATCCCTGACCACACCACCGATACCTGCCATATTGTTACTCCTTAAGGAAGCATCAACATTAATATTTATCCATCCAGGTGGAGGAGAATGCCAAGAAGAAAATAGCTTATGCTGGTTGACGTCCCAGTTGTCCGAATAAATGTTAATAATCGGGCTAACAGTAGCGATTGAAACAGTGCTAACTACAATTGATACATCAGTGCCTTCCTTGCCACCATGAACCAGCTTATTTCTGATCTTCCAAATAAGAAAAATAGTTGTACAATAGATATTAGCAATGAGAGAATTGGTTCCTTACAATCTATCTAATCCAGTTAAGATATCAGCAAATTCTTCAAACAGTGTAATCTGAAATCCCCATTTGTTTAACAACTTGATGACATTCTGTAATTTACCATATCCCCAGCAATATGACTGGTGTCTTCCGCCTAAGCACATTCTCTCGGGCATTCAAAAAAATTGATCAATCTTCTATACAACAGGAATGAATTGGAAGGAATTGCTTCATTGTATAATCTTCACCAAATCAATTCTACACATGGTCTCAATTTAAATTTTTTCATCCATTTCCAGTGACTGCAATCCAAACTATGCTCCATCACAGCTTCTAGGAACAAAGCAGTAATGGATTTTCCTGTAGCTTTTAGTTTCAATTCAATTTAATCCAATCCTTTATCAGAATAAATAAGAATTTATAAAATCAGCTCCACAAGATGCTTGTCAAAGAATAATTAAAGATGATTCACATTCTAAGATCCCTCAAAGATAAAGTAGTTTAGATTGTAATTTATGATCTCCAAATCATTTACAAAGGTTGGCCATTTAGAAATTCTTTTATCCAAAATCCATGAGTCATGCAACCAATTAATAGATTTACCATTAGAGATTCTCCATCTAACAATGTTTCTAAGATAAGTAGCACCATTGCAAATAATTTTCCAAGTAGGAGAACACCCTTTTTTAACTGGATTACTCCAGAAATCAGTGCCATATTTAGCTCAAAGAATATGGTTGAGCAAAGAGTTAGGCTTCACGAAGAAATCCCAAGCAAATTTATTTTAAAGAGGTCCCCTCTTAGAAACAGCTGAGAAGAGTCCACGACCACCCTTTTCTTTTGGTTTACATAACAAATCCCAAGAAGCATAGTGCAATCCAACATTCCCATTATTTTTATTCCACAAAAAACCTCTACACATTTTATCAAATTCTTTTAGAGTCCCCAACCGAACTAAAGAAAGAGAAGATAAAAACATAGGTATGGATAGGAAGGCTTATTTTACCAACACCATTTTCCCTTCCAAAGAAATACAGTTCTTCCCCCAAGTATTCAATTTGTTAAAAGTTACCTCTATAATCTTTGGAAATTCAAAGCCACCATTTGTTGTGGATTTGTTTTTAGGGAATATAATTTTGATGATAGCAAATACTTCTATTTCTCTATGACTACCCTGCCTACAAACAATTCAGGTCCACAAAATCAAACTGTAATTTGAACCAGCTCAAGATTAGATAGACTAGGTCTGAGTCATTTTGTAATCTTTTAACTTTTCTTAAGTCAATTGTAAATGAAGTTGTTCCTGATGCTAAGTAACCTTGCACACACACTTGGGAGAATATTTCTAACTATTTTTAGAGTTAATAATTTCTGGTCACATCATCCGGGATGATCTATACATCGGCCTGGACGGTCAGTTAAAAATAGAAATCCTAATTAGGAAATCATAATTAAGGTAGCCATCATTAAGCGTATCATCCTGGATGATAATCGTATTGGCCGGAATAATAGGCTCAAATAAAAAAGAATCAACCACCAGATTTATTTAGGAAGCTTTTATTTTTGTATATCATCCTGGACAATGCAATATAATTATGCCTAAATTAATCTAGTAATTAATGAAAGTAATTAAGGAAAGTAATTAAGGTTTGATTGCTTTATCATATCATCCTGGATGATCTCAGGATCGACTGAGATGATCAGTTCAAAAACCATAGTTATTCCTGGACAATTAAACATTGGCCAGCTTCTATTCAGGGTGATGCTCCAAATGATATGCACTGAATTAAATTAATCCTCAAGGATGATCATGAGATTGACTTAGACGATTAAGTTAGTTTTCCACCGTCCAGATATACATTCAGGGTGATGTTCTTGATGATATTCAATAACTTGTACTAATCATACAGGATAATATTCTATCGTACAGGATGATATGAACAAAAACTTTTTGATCATCCCAAATTGTCTTGTCTGATTGAGCTTAATTTGTACTGATCGTATAGGATGATATTTATATCGTCCTGGATGATAAAGTCAGTTTATTGTAATTAAGAGATATTCTGAAGCTCTTCTATTTTAGACCTCTTATTCTTCCCAAGAGATCATCTTTTGCTGTTTTCATGACTTGAGAGAGCCTAAAGGAGAGAGAGAGAAAGGGAGAGAGAGAGAGAGAGAGGATCTTGTGAGGGGGAGTTTGTGAGGGGTTTCACAAAGGTTGCTCCAAGAAAGGATCCAAGTCATCTTCTCCGATCATCATTCCTTATTTTTGGAGATTTGAGAGAGATCCACTTCAGTAATCAATTAAGGTTCTCTACCTGCTTTAGGAGGAAGAAAAAGGAGTCGGCTACTTTTCCTTGCTATGGAAGTAAAAGGAGAGTCATTGTGTCTAGTGCAATACTCGGAGGGTGCCTCCGAGGAGTGGATGTAGGTCGAGTTGACCGAACCACTGTAAATTTATGTGTTCTTTTTTACCACTTTTTTTGTATTTAATTTCTGCACTTTAAATTTTTTTATGGTGAATTTTGGTTTGGTTTGAGTTTTTGTTTTTGATTGAAAGATTTTTTTAAAATACCAATTCTCTCCCCCCCCCCCCCAGGTTAGCCTTGCCCCCCCCCCCCCCCCTCTTGGTTAGCCTTGAGCTAGTTCATAAGGGCTTAACATCCCTAACGAACATTTAAGTGGCATCAGAGTGGGATTCATAAAATCAAGTTTTTGAAACTTTTGAATTTTGATCAATTGCTAACTTTGGTAATCATAGTACTACAAAAGGATATTGTATTACATGACCACCTTTGTTCGATAATATTCCCTTTGATATTTTGAAAACTCACATGTATATATTTTTACAATCGATTGACTATTATATAAGGATGCTTATTAAAGAAGGTTATT